TTAGATTTTAGATTTTAGATTTTAGATTTTATTAATATTTGTAGGCTGCCCTTTTCCCTAAGGGGACTCAGGGGGGCTCACATAAAATCAGGGGAGGGGAAGACGAACATTGACAAAGAGACATATAGTAAAATAGTCAGCAACATACATTCATCATTCGGGAGGGGCGGCTATCCTTGTCCCCAGGCCCCAAGGACTGCTAACTGGTTCGGTAGATTTGATGAACCGGTTCTACCGAATAGGTGCGAACTGGTAGGAACCCACCTCTGGATGGGGGCGTGGCCAGCCAGAGGTGGTATTTGCCAGTTCTCTGAACTATTCAAAATTTCCCTATCAGTTCTCCAGAACCGGTCAGAACAAGCTGAATACCACCCCTGGTTTTAACCTCCATCCCCCTCTAATCATCCTTTAAAAAGATAAAAATATAAAGACGGTTAATGAGAATTTTATAGAGATTAGCATTTCCCCCCCCCACCCTTATATCATTCTTTGCTTTCTTCAATGGCTGTCACATTCTTGGTCCGTGTGTGTGTTTTAGGGGTTCACAAGATGGCCAACCCCAAACCATCGTCAAGTTCAAGCAAGCCCAGCGGTACGGTCCTGGACAGCACCTTGTACAGGATTCCTAGTTCGAACAGTAGCCCTCCTAAGAGCGTTCCTTCCAAATATGAACTGGAGATCACGAGCCCGAAAAAATCAGTTAGCTTTTCTGGAAAAGAGCAGGTGGAGAGCATCATGGAAGAATACGCCCAGCAAGTGAGAGATTTGCAGAAGAAGCTAAGCGAAGTAAGCATCAAGTTTCATGATCAATGCACATGATCTTTAATTCATTATATCTTTCTCAATAAATGGAGCCAAGGACCATTTCTATTTTAGAGATTTAAGTAGCCGCGGTGCCGCTGTAACTTCAGTCACTAAACAAATGGTTGCAATTCAAGGACTAGTCTGTAGCAGGAAAGTTCCCAAGTGAATCCGTTCCCTAAGGAACGCTTTCTTTCCATTGCTGTGTTCCAGAAAATTTCTCCCCTGCTTCTTCTCCCTCCGCGGTTTCCTCTCTCCCATTCTCCCAGCATTTATTTAATTATCTCATTTCATCTCCCGTAGAACACAGAACAACACGAGCAACAGAAATTCGCTTTACGGCAATCAATTATTGAGCTGCAGAACGGCCTAGAAAATGCAATGAGAGAGAAAGAATCTTTGAGTGAATTAAGGTGAGTCCCCTCTTAGCCCGACCCAAACGGAGTCACTAATCCCAGGTAAATATTTCTTGACAATTACTTTTCCTGGGTTGGCTCCAAAATGATTGAAGTGGGAAATGATTTCTATATCTAAATATGTTTTATTTTCATTTCATTTCGTAGAATCACATATATACTGTGCATAACTGGAGCA